CATAATGCCTTAGGAAAGCATGTCGACGTTTTCTCAGGTTGAGAAGGTCTGTTGGAAGATCACCAGGTGTCCTGGTGCCATAAATAATATTGGAAACCACTGGAGTTGTGGGGTCGTCAATTGCGAGATTGCTGTCCCATTATGTCACCCCGGCGCTGCCTAGGGGCGATCCTGAACGTACTGCGCCCAGAGAACGAGCCGCGATGGGACGGAGTAACCTTCGCAGCCACCACCTACTACGACTGGTGGGCGGCGCGTTGCGATGAGTTTTCGATGAACTGCTGGGAGAAGGGCAACTGCTTTGACAAGGCGTGGGGCGTGTGGCGCGTGCTCACGGAACTCGGCACCTCACGTGCATGTAAAATAAAAAAATCCAAATTACCCTTTCGTGCGGCAACGGTGCTGATCAATTTTGCGCCCGAGCGGCGCCAACGTGGAGCAATGACAATGGAACAGGCACGATGCGTGCTCATTAAGTTAAAGGCAAACCTAGTAAGCGATTGGGCGGATTGCTAAATCCAGCGTTCATGACTATTGCATGACTCCCTGAAGCATTCCAAACAGTTAATTTGATGCCTACGAGTTTCATGTAGATACTCCCGATGTGTGCACGGACGGCGTAAATTTGAGCAGGATTCTCGGCAGTATATATCCTCTGTGGCCTGCCTTTAGTCATCAAAGGGCGGGCTTCTTGTGCCGATTCCTGTCACCTAACCAGCGGATTTGAGTTGGTCTTTGTGTGTGCGCACATGCGAGGGTTTGTGTGTGCCCGCGGGTGCGCGGGCCAGCCCCTGCGGTTTTCTGGTGGTTCAATTTGACCCATGCCCATTTGATCGCCCTTTGGGAGGCAAAGTTCCCCTGCATCCAGAAGGCCGAGCAGGCCTCGGACTGGATGCCTGTCGGATTTTATGGCTCATGCGGGTGCGGGTCAACGGCGGAGTTCGTTCAAACCTCGGGATCTATGCCTTGTTCAGGGGTGACTTGAACCGAGACAGAGTACAAGGAGGCAGTCAAAGCAAGTAAGGAACTGTTGGGAACCTTAGGCTGCATCCCCACAAGAAAGAATCATTTGCGGCTTAATGGGGCGGTGCCGATGGCGGTGCCCAAGTTTCATCAAACGCAACGAAACCAGGGGAAATCCCGAGAATTGCTCGGACATATTTGATGAGTGGCCAGGTTTTTCTTGTCAGCGACTTACGAGCCCTGTTGCATTCCCCAAACGCAGCTGGATGTCGCCCATCATCTTGTTTGTCGGCTTCGTCAAAACGGCTGGTCTCCATGAAAAGCTTGCATGACGCAGGTAGGCAGAGCAGTTTCATTTCGAATCGCTCATGCGAAAGTCGGGTGGAGGAGCCTGAGTACACTGAGCACATCCATGACTTACCCTAAGCCATGGAGAAGGCGTGCAGAACATGTAAAGTGCCATGGACAAGACGGTCCCATGGGTAGGGCCCCACTGTTGTAAGGGCCTACGGGACAAATTGAGGTAGGCGAACCTGCAAGACCTTATGCCTTTGTGAAAGTGGCTTTATGACACTTTTGAAGGGATGCATCGGGGGCTTCATGTGTGGAACGGAGCTTGGCACTCAGGAATCAGTTCTTCCCGGTTCGTTCAGCCTTCAACGGCCTTGCAATCTACAAGCAGAACACCATCGGCCAGTGCCAGTACGACGGCACCTGACCCCAAAGAGAATTTCTTGCCAGAACGGCGGTCAAGGGCCAATACGGCAACGCCAGAGGGCCTTGCAGTCATAGGGCCGATAGCTTGCGTGGAGAGTTTTTCCCTCAATGCTAAGCGATGGCCGAGTTTCATCTTGGAGATGGTGTCCATCACTTTTGCTTGTTTTTGTACTTCCAGCATTTGCATGAGCATGGCGTAGAAGCAGCTGAGCGCCTGAGCGGCTTGCGAAGCCGTGCTTAGGTACCAATCTGGACCACGGAGGGCCAGATTGGACTTCTGACAAGTCCATGCGGCTCGGCGGGAAGGGCCGAGTGTAGATGCGTGTTTTGCGATGTGTGTGTTTGTGTGTGTGTGACTGTGTGCGTGTGCCGTGGAATACTTTAGAATGCATTGGAACACTATTATGCAGAGGGCTAGGGGGAGGCAATACTAGGATCAAAAAGCACTGGCTCATGCTGAAAGCTTCTGTCAACATTATTTGCACTAGTGAGGCTCGTGGCTACTGAGCTTTTTCGATGGCCAATAGGCGAAATTTCCACCGACACCTTCTAGTTGGCGCAGCCATCGTTCAGCATCAGCCCATGCATGGCCAGGTGGCAGCTGCCCAGCTACCCTAAAGCCAGGTTTGAGTTCAGTTGCCGCTCTCTTTGCCGCGTCACCCGCTTTCACCTGATGCTCAGTGTGTCACTTTTTGGCAATCCCTGCGCTCGCTTTGAAGAGGGAACCTTCCTAGAGTTGGGCACTTAATCGCTTCTCCCTAATATATTGAAAGAAAGAAGAAAAAAACGTCTCCCCCAAAAAAAAATACCTGGGGGGGAGTTTATTATTAGGGGTAGGTTGATTAATAGGAAGAAGGGATTACATGATGAGTTTCCCTCATCCGGCCCAGGATGATGTTCGGCGGCTCGGATCCCAAGGAGGATTGCGAACACGTGGCTTTTCACGATTGCCTGCGGCAGCAGGGGAGGCACTTTATGCTGAACTCGGGGAAGACCCATATTTGGTAGCCTGGTGAGCAGTGCGCGCGGAGAAAAGTGCGGTGCAGCCTATGCGCAAGCCAGAACTCACCATGCACTAGGTGCTTGTATTCCTGCGTGTTGGTATTGATATTTATTCGCATGTCACGTGTACAGAAGCACGCATAGTATACATATTGTATTGTAATATGCAGGCATGAGAGACAAACTTGTTGTGTGTGTGTGCGCAGCGCAAACACGTGTCCAAACGATTATTCCCTTGAGTTTCATGCGAGTTTGTCTTGAAATTGTCCTTGAGTGGCAGCCATGCTTACATGCCAAGAGTCACGTTACTCGAGCGTGGTACATAACATTGAAAGCCCATGCAAACCGATGGTTGACTTGGATTGGGGGTCGAGGCCGTCCTTGTGCCAGTTGCCGCACGGGACCTCAGTCGGCACCCGGCAGGTTCGGGCTGGGGCGTGGCTTGGGAGACCGACAGGGGTCGGGTGGGGGGGGAGGAGTTTCTTAGTCTCCCTCGCTCGGCACGCAAATGAAGGCGGCTGTAATTTTGGCTTGGAATGTACCCAGCATCCCCTTCCATGTGTGTGTGTGCGTGTGTGTCACGATAGCTGCGCCCCTCAAATCCCTTGGCACCCCGTTTGAAAACCATCAAACAATGGGATCCTTAGTTTTAGGAACAAACATTTAGTCGGCAACTCGGGGCTGGCCCTACCAGCCCCGTTGAGTCCGTGCACGGCTGAAAGGTCCATTCCAATTCGGCCGTATGCTGCCCAGTGCAAAGCTTCTGGTCATTGAATTTGCGGTGAGAAAGGCGCTCGGCCAGTATTGCAAAATGAGCCGTCTGGGCAACATGGTTTTTGGACCACACATTCAACCTGAGATGAACAAGTAGGCTTTTGACCCTGGCTTCTTTTGAGAGTGGAAGCCAAGAGCCAACTGGATTCTGCGATCCGCTGTCCGAGGTTTGCGCCTGGCCAAGCAAGTACGAGGTGTGGCTCCCCAGCTTTGGATGACGCGAGTCCCACCCAGTCGCCTCATGATGGAGACCTGGTGAGCGTGCAGACATTGAGGGAGGTCAAGGCTTGAATGTTTGGTTTGGCTGGTGGCAATGTAACACATCCGCTTGAGGGGCCTGGCAGCAAAGTGGGACGTTTGTAGCGCTTTAGATTGACGCCTGCATGAAAGCCAGCCTGATGTTGTTCGGTCTTTTCAACCGGTAAAAAGGTTGCACCCAACTCTCAGCGTCTAGAATGGAAAGAAGACACAGCCAAGACTAGGAGCTGTCATTTCAACAAGCTGAGTTGTTTGATCCTTGTGTTGTGTTGGCGCTTGGTGCCTGGGTCGGTTTGATCCTGCTTGTGTTTTCTGGCGTGGATGTGTTCGCCACTGGCTTTGAGCCCAAGCCAACGCACTGCATCATAGCACCCTGAAGCGCTGCTTGGTGTTGCTTGGCTGCTTTTTGAGCTGGCTCGCCGCGGTCGCACACACGATGACTGAGGTGATGCAGGGCAGGCTGCAGCTGGCAGGCGGCGTGTTGATACCGTGCATCTTTCCCAACAGGTCCGAGGGGGAAAGCAGATCCAGGGCTCGGGTTTTACTTTGGATGGGCCCTGGGCCCTTGCAAGGTGTTCTTAAAGATGAAGGCGGGTCCAGAGCTCCAATCCTATGAAGGATTCTTCCGGATTCGGCCAGAATACGAGGATCCAATTGTACCCACTACAGCAAATTGTGGCGGCCAATGGTAGGGATAATGCTTTCCTACCTTAAAATAATGTTCTCGAGAACGCTGGCAACCAAGTGAAAACGCTTGATCGCACGTCTCAATCCATCGCTCTCGGCCTCCGCTGTTAGGTCTAAATGCCAGCACGAGTGCTCAGACGGGCAGGGCTGATGGGTTTGCGGGGGATTCTTGGTGAGCAATCACAGCCAGTTTGCCATGGTAACACTTGGGGGCCAGTGACTTGGTCTTGCTGCAAGGCTGTTTGGCACTTGGTGTGTTTGATTGCCTTTGGTCAAGAATCACTCCTCTGCACCTCCTGCGCCCCCCTTGCAGGCCGAGGGACTCGGCCAATGCTTGGCCCATTGTTGAGGGCAAGGGGTGATCCACCAGCAGCTTCTTTTTAAGTGCCCAGCGAAATCAGCCCCCAACAACCGCTCTCGTGACATACTTGCAAAGATGAACTCGGAAGACGATTTGTTCAGATTGCTCCTAGTTTCTCTTTTTTGCTGAGCATGGTGAGCTTGGGAGGGCAGCTGGCCTGCTTGCTGCCATGGTTTTGTGCGGCTAGGGGATGGGTCTTTGGCACGTGTCACGTTGAGGGGCTTTGATCCGTGTTCCGAAGCTTGACTGGCTCAAGCTCCAACGCGCATCGTATCACCGCAAAGAAAGGTGAGACAACACGGCGTCCTCAGTTCCCTGGCCGAAAGAGCAGTGCGTGATTTTCCCTCAAAGGGTCAAGTCGGGATGAGGATTAGAATTCCTTGTCCGACGGGACTAGAAAGCACTACTCCTGTTTGTGCGAAGCTTTTGTCATTCTCCACGAAAAGGGAATCAATTGTTGCTAAGCCACCTACGCAGCTCAACGCCAGGGGGCATGGCAGAAGCGGGGAGCAAGCTGAGCCTTCAAGCGGTTAAACAAGGAACCTGTCAAAGGACCCTTGCAGACTTGTTTTTTTCTCCTTTGTCCACTGAACATTAATAGGTTGAGGAGGCAACTGTCACATTGCACGCTGCATGCATGCATTCACAGATTATGCATGCGCATATGCGCATGCAATGCACACGTGCATGTGCATACAGTATGGTACAGTATGCACGTCGTCATGCACCCCCATGCATATGCATAGACCCAGATATTCACATATCAATGCTGCACAATACGCATTCCTTTGCATATGTGGATGCACTTCAATACCCGTCACATACTTACAGTTTCTTCTTATGCACGTCATTACGTTGAGCTCATGGTACTGGACGGGCACATTTGCAAACACACACGGAAACCTTAAATTTGTTGCAGCTGTTCGCTGAGATCTGTAGACTGCTAGGTAGATGCGATGACACGCCGTTGTTGAGGGCCTGTTTCGATCCCTGCTGTAAGGCTTTATGCATGCACTTTTGTCTTGCTGCATGCATCATGATTGCCTAATGCATGCTGAACAACACTGTCTTGTTATATCTTGTTAACGCAGGAAGCTCAGGCTCACTCTCACTGGCATGCAGAAGACATTGCAACTGTCACCAGGCGGAAACTGTACGTTTCTGCAAGTTGCAGCGTCATGTTTTTAGTACTCCTTTTCATTGAGACCCTCGCAACTTGGGCTTCAGGCTTCCTCCAGGGCGCGCGGGCCCCTGCAAACACAGCTTGACATTCACACAAGGGTGTTTCGCAGACGGATTCGATCCTCGATTTGTTGAGAAGCCGCAGGAGGCAGCTTTTAGGCTTCCCTGAAAGTCACATTCAAAGCTTGTCACGGCTCTGGTCATGACTAGGACGTGGTATCGACACACGCCACCACGTTGCGTGCTTTCAACAGTTGTGGCTTCAATTGGGTGCCAGGCAGACGCGCTGAGTGCCCGCATGGCTCAGATGGGCGCCGTGGCGAGAGTGGGGAAGCTGGTGCCACACCGAAGCAGTTGTTGTCAAAGACGAATCAAGACAGGCTTCGAATCCCTGCAAACCACCTTCAAAGCAAGAACTGCAGTGTTTTAAAGGCACCGGGGCTGTGCAGCTGTGCAGCAATCTCCGGCTCCCAAGATGTTGCTGGAAAGTTGGCTGGCCCTACGCGGCACTATGAAGCATAGGAGAATCAAAGCATCGTGTTGGCAGGTATAAATTCATGCATCGAGCAACATGTCCTGGACGACCGCCACCAACCGCTAAAGCTGATGTTGCAACGCACATTCGGTTTGAGGTGCCCCTTTGGCATCAAATGCGCAAGCGACATGCTAGTTTACGGTCTTAGCTTTGTTTGTGCAAAGATTGTTGGTTCGGATAGAATGGGAGGCCGATGCCCGCTTCTTTCAAGGGGATGGAGAAGTGCTGAACCAAGTAACGACAGCACAGATGGGACTTTTCACTTCAAAGAGATGCAAGGACAAGCACCTACGAAAGGGCTCCGAACGGGGTGAGCCTCCCCGTGCGCGTTTTAGGCACTTTGACCGGGGGCGATTATGAGAACATCAACGTCATGGAGAGTGTCATGACGTTAGGCGCCGGGGCCGGGTGTGTTGCTTTCTTTGCGTGTGCAATCTGACCAGCACAGTCGGTTTGGAAGCCTGTGATCTCATCCAGACTCGCATGGAAGACCAAACTCAACCATTTTGAGGGACATCTCGCTTTGGGGACTCCCTTCGTGGGTTTTTATGTCGATTTGCAGCGGAAGATTGACCGGCTGAAGCCGAGCACGCATCCTGCAGTTTAGGCTTTCGTAGGTCCTGTGGCTTGGCGATGTTTTGGGCCTGCCTGCCCTGTTGAAGGTGCATCTTGCCTTGCTTGATGCTGAACTCCATTCCTACTTGAGAATACAACCGTGTATCAACTTGATGTGCTACACGTGTGTGGGCAACGTTGGCGCCAGCCGAAGTGCTTAGCTGACGAGCATGAGACGTTGGTACAAAAAATGAACTTGCTTGTTCCAATGCAAGTGCACTGTTTGGTTGTAGGATATGTATCCAAGGAGGGCCTATCTAAATTCACAACGCCTCCTGATGAGGCAGATCACATGAGATTGCATTAGCTTCACATGTGTCAAGGTTAGGGCGTTTTCGCCGATACCAGGCGGGCTCCTGGCGAGAAGTGAGTCGATGGAGATTACCAACGACCCCCGCTTCTTTCAGGACCAGTGATGCAACGAAGGGGGTCAAGTCGTGAAGCCTGTTGATTTTCTGGTTACTTGTGAACGGGCTTGGAGCCTTGTCAAAAGCATGGGCCAAGCCATGTTGCCCAACGGTTTCCCCACTTGCTTGCGTCAAGGCGCAGCAATAAGCAGCTTTCCCTGGTTCACAGCTGTGCGCCAACCACCACTGAGTCAGCCATGTCAGGTGTTGTCAATTCCAAGCTGTGGATTTGATCCAACCTCCGATTATCCAATGTAATCTCTTGCACACCCTCTCTTGCACACCCTGGCATATTTGGCATGGTGCCTAAACCGGGGCTTGTTTACTGTCTGGTGGCTGCCAAAATTCGCAATCCAGAAGTTGCCATCCCGGCCTCGCAAGCCATCAAACCATTCCATTTTCCGCTTGGAGGGGGTTCAGCTGCGGGGTGCGCAGTGCAGGACAGCGTGCTGAGCCTGCGACTGGCGGCATTTGGTGGCCTCGGGGTGGTGGCAGGGCTCATGGTGCAGAACTCCATGGAGGGGGGGGGACCATGGGGTAGCTGACCACTTTGTAGGGCTGGCAGTTGTTTCTTTCATGCGCGATTGTCAAAAGGACATTATAACCTGGGATGGTCATCAACCCTTAACATAGCTTTTGGACAGCCATGGTGAGTATGTAAGGGAACATCCACATAGGGAGTGTGACACTCTGTGCCGCTGTGGCTCTGTACCACTCGGAGCTCATTGCAGTCCAACTCCCAACATGGTCGGACCCTGGCCGCATTCACGAGCCTACAAGTAATAAGCCCTGGAGGGCTACTAGTGGACTGCTCCCTTGCCAGCACGTTGACACGTAGGTTTGCAATTCGGCAAGTGCATCGCCATTTACCAAACTGGTACATACGGGCATTCGACAGCTCCTTTGCAGCATTGTCAAAAAACACCCGCCACATGGCAGCGGAGCCGGAGCCGTACCCTCGAAAGTCGCGGCGGCATGGCGACGCCGAAGGCAACTGGGCCTGCTCTGGCAATGGTGGACCCACGATTCAGCGGCAAGGAGTCACGGAGCAAGAAACAAGCGCTCTCGCAGGACTCGCTCAGTCCGTGGAGGGCAAAGCCTTATCAGTCATTAGCAACGCGGAGGTCGGCAACAGGCGTGGAAGATGTGGTGGACACCTACAACCTGAAGAGATATGTGAGTGGCCCAGACTGGAGCAAGGTGACCGCGAAGATCTCTGGAATCACAATGGCGTTCACGAGCCTGGCGGCCTTTGGGGCCTACGACAAGCTCAAGAAGTGAGCAGAGTTGGCTGGCCCTTCTGGCAGTGGTGAGGGATGATTTCGCGGCATGTGGCCACGAGACATGGATGGCGCAAACATGGGGTGCAGACGGCTGTCGGGTGCCAATGTTCAGACAAGGGTTGCGCATGGTCATAATTTGACTGCTCCAGGAGGTGGCTCCACCTCTTGCTCAAGATCAAGAAGAGTCAGAAGTGTTGCCAGGTCTGTGCGTAGCGGTGGTAGTAGCTCCTGTGACGCCAGCAGGACCAATTCATGAGAGAAAGGTTAGGTTCTGAGGCATCTGGGATCGACTTCGGCCTGCAGAGTGCCGAGACTGCAGGGGCTTGGAGCCGGCCGCATGAGCGAGGCCAAGCGCCGACAAAAACTACAGCGCCCAAGGAGGGGAGGAGAAAAAGAAGCGCAAGATCATACGCCTGACAACGGCTCCCTGGTGTTAGCATTGTGTGGCACGGCTACTAGAAGATGATGGCCAGGGACACCAGGTCCGTGATCCAAGTGCCTGAAGCCACAGCATGTAAAGGAAGCTGCGTCACGGGATGTGGAAAAACTGCAGCTCTAATTGCTCCCCACAGGGGCCAGATCTGGGGGCAGGTCCTGAGAATTCACATCTTAGGAAAATGAGGAGTTTCCCCATTGCGCATATATCTAATAGTTGTAAACCACGCCGGTCCCCTCCGGCTAACAGCAGGAGGGGTCGGCGGATTTGTCCATTCGACAGTTTCAGCATTGTCAAAAGCTGCGTGCCCGCTACAGCAAGGCACCATCCAAAGCATCGCAGTTTGGCACCCCTCACAGCAGCGAGTGCGTTCTTTTTGACAACATGTGTCCTTCAACAACTGGTTGGGGCCAGCTTGTTGGCCCAACCCGGCGCCATCGAAGCTGCTTAAAATCTGTCAAACACACGCGCGTGAGCCTGAAAGGACCACCTTTTCGACATGAAGAAGACCATGAGGTTCGGGCCAGACCACATCGATACAGCGGTCCAGCTGACGGCTTTTATCATTCTCTCCCTTGTGCACTTCCTGAACATCATCGCCACGTCCCCCTTAGTATTGGCATGCTTCCTGTTTGTGCTGCTCTTGTGTTTGTTTGTTGTTTGTTTGTTTGTTTGTTTGTTTGTTTGTTTGTTTGTTTGTTTGCTTGCGTGTGTGTGTGTGTGTGTGTGTGTGTGTGTCTGTGTGTGTCTGTGTGTGTCTGTGTGTGTCTGTGTGTGTCTCTGTGTGTCTGTGTGTGTCTGTGTGTGTCTGTGTGTGTCTGTGTGTGTGTGTCTGTGTGTGTGTGTGTGTGTGTGTGTTTGTTTGTTTGTTTGTTTGTTTGTTTGCTTGCTTGCTTGCTTGCTTGCTTGCTTGCTTGCTTGCTTGCTTGCTTGCTTGCTTGCTTGCGTGTGTGTGTGTGTGTGTGCGTGTGTGCGTGTTTGCCGCGCTGCCTTGGGCATTATTTTTGGATTTTTTGCATGCTAGGCCATCACTTTAGACACGGGTGTCAGACCCCATGCTTTGAGAAGGGCGGACAAAGCGACAATTGACAGGGAACTTGCGCCAGTGTTGAATAGGGCAAGCAGGTTGCAAATGTCTTTCTCACGCAGGCAATGCTGCAGCTTGCAGTTTGGTGCTTTGCATGAGTGGGCTGCCCGAGGTACGTTGGAGTGGCGCAGCCTTACCACGTCATCCGCCTGATGACCGCTGGTCCGGTAGGCCGGGGCAGGCTTTGCCAAGAAGTTGGATACTGTTGTTTTGACCCTAAGTATGACAAGGTTTGCTGTCTCGTGATCCACTGACTGGCCCAACGGGTTGAGAGAGGCCTTTGACATGGCTTACACGCTTTGGCATGGCTCGTAGGAGAGCACCAGTTGCCATGCGGCAAGGAATGGCCTGGATTGACCAAGACTAAAAGTGACTAAACGCCTGCGATGCTATGTCAGCAGCGTCTCGCAACCACAGAAAAGCAAGGACAGCACTGGAGGTCTGGGTATTTCCGCTTTGAAGTCGCAAAGCTATCAGGTTTCAATAGGTTCCAATGGACCCTTGGCAGTAGCCCAAGCCCAAACATATTCACTGCGCAATCAATGCCCCACCTTCTGGAAGCTGGGTTCCCCAAATCAAGGTTAAGTTGGTCAATTGAATGAGTTGTTGAGCTCGACCGCAAGTTCGCCACGCGACTCAGGATTCGAGTCGGCAGCTTGCTGCTTTGCCGGCAGTTTGTCACCGGTGGGGTGAAGCAGCAACCAAAAAGGAATGGAGACTAAACTTGTGTCTTTTGCGTTCTAGTCCAGGTTGATGCGGCCAAGGGGCAGAAAAGCCCTTGAAGCAGACACCATGACAGAACCCATAAACCAGGCTCACTTCCCGGGCATGCCCCGCGCTTTGCTTGACAGCTTGAGAAAAACACCTCACATCGATCAGTTCAACCTGGCTGTCATTGGGTCATTTGAAGCGCCCGGGCCCTTCAAAGCGCAGCTTTCGCGAACAGCGATCACCCTTCGTTGGATTTCGCGAGCGGGCCTTGGCATTGGAAGGGTGCCGCAAGCACCCGCCATTGCCAGCCGTATTTGGACAGTGCTTCAGACGAGGAACTCTTGTCCCTGGCATTTGCACAACCAGATGAAAATCGACATATATCGACATTGAAAACAGGACGTGTGAAGCATTGAATCATGTTCAGCATTTTCTTGCACCGCTATGAACCTAGCCTATCGCAATTTAGTATGGGCGCGAACTCAACTGCAATCGGATCGGGAAACCACCCGACCCTGCCATGCCCGGTCCCAAAGTTTTGCTCGTAAAGAATAAAGACAGGCACTGGGCCGAGTCCATTCCTTGAAAACGCATCCTGGAGCATTGCCTTGCTCGTAGAAGTGCCAACTCAAGTCTGCGTTTTGCAAGCCGGCAAGTAATGACGGTGGAGATGGATGAACTCTTCAACTTCTTGTCTTAAGAGGGGCATAGGTAGCTCAGAAGACGCATAGGACTCATTTTCTGAAGCGGTGCTCAGAACCACAGGCAGGCCACACAGGAAATGGCCCCCGACTTGTTTGTTTTTATGATTATCAGTTGTGGACGTCGTTTGCGTTTAGGAGGGGAGACTGTTCCAGGATGTATGAGGGGATCCCGTTCCAATTGCAAAGTGGGGGCAGCCGACATCTAGGCTACTACCTGAATAAGAACATCATCGCCTGGCGCCACTTCGCTGTCTTCGGGGCTTTGGCCTCGATGCCACTGTTCCTGGCCAGCAGCGGCCTGCGCAGCCTGGCCGCGAAAGAGAGGGCAGCTTCAAGTAGTTCCCGAAATTCAGAGCTGCGGAAGTCAGAGCCACTTCGATTTCGGAGCCTTGCGATTCCCCGCCCAGGTGCCAAATCCAACGCCATTTCTGCATGTTGACTTATGAGTCCAAGTCGAAACTGCAGGGTTTGCAGGAGCACAGGCTTCCCGGTTGGTTGGCGAGGCCAAGCTGAGCGGACCCGCCCAGAAGAGTACAGCCTGGTTCACAAGTTTGGCGACCAGCCCAATGATTACCGACCCAGGGCTGGGAACAAGCCGGGCCCCTTTAGGGTAAGGGGGGATATGATTGCCCACGATTTGCGGCAACCTGAGGCATGATCGTGAAGTTCGATCGGGACCGCAAGGGCTGGGGAAGAGACTCGAGCCTGGAACACTTTGGTTGTCCAAAGCGGACCTTTCGGCCAATTTAATTTGGCTTGCCAGATGGTACCTGTTGTTTCATCATTGTCGAGAAAGGGTGCTATATATATATATATACATATGAGTCGTTTGGCAGCGCAAGCCTATGACATGTGTTTGCATCTTGGCCTTTGCTACGCAGAGCTGTTCCTGAAGATAGCTACATGACATTCAACCCAATGCCACGTTGCCATTTGTCAATTCAGTTCCTATAGGAAATGCCGGCACAGCTTTGGACGGCACACATGAGCCCTCACAAGAGCCAGCAGCCAAATCAACATTGGCGTTTGCAAGATGGTTTGTGATGCAAGTTGTGAACTCGTGGGCCCTTGCAACATTAGGGAGTTCAGTGACTCCAGTGCATCTTTGCCACTGACAGCAAGCCCCCCACGTTTGCAGGACGTCTTATCCATCAGCATGATTGGAATTGCAGACTGCTGCTGCCAAAGGGCCATTCTACCTTCAAGTCTCAGGCGTGACGAAACATGAGTTAGAATACTTAGGAGGCCTATAGTCCGAGTCTTCTTTGCTGTCAGGCAAATCCGATTGGAATGCATATTTGGAAGCAGCTGACTCGATAATTAATTGTATGGCAGCCGGTCCAGCGTGGAATCGGCCAGGAGAACGTGGCCGAGCCAGATCCCCCTCAGAACTTGAACGACATTGATCGCATTGTCGGAATCTCTGTGTGCCTCGGCATCCATCTATGCAAGCTAAGGCAGCTTGACAAGTAGGTCTAAGTAGGTGCTGCGCAGAGTTCGGGCATGCAGGCAGCTGGACTGCCAGTTTTGCGCTTTCCTTCGTGGCTCATGAAGCCATTGCCATGTGATGGTGCGCCGCAAGCTTGTCATCATTGCAGCTCACCAACATGGACAAGTCAACTCTTTCATTCATGGGCCAACTGGCTCAATATTCGGAGGACTTTGTTTGTGCCAGGCTGTTTTCGGGTAGCACTAGCTTGCTTGCCCATAGCAGAATGTCGGAAGACGCGGCCCTCTCACTGAGCAAATCAATGGCAACATCAGTATGCTGCGCTGGTTCCAAACAACTGAGGCAGGTCGTGACATTGATGCCAGGCAAGGATTGGCTACTGTACCGGCCGTATCCATGAGCAATAAGTGTCCTTGCTCTTCAATCTTCTGATGCCAAACCAACAGAATCTTTCATTTTTTTGCTTGCCGGCACAAGGGGGCAGAGGGCAGAAGGCAAGGAGAGTCTTTTGAACCATGCGCTGAGGAATGCAGATTGCACGTCTGCCTTGCATGCAGATTGCTTGCCTAGCAAGAGATTTTGAACCGTGAGCCTGAGGTTGAACAGGAATAGTAGTCGCTTCAATGTTCCTTTGTAATGGGTCGCTCCGACTTTCCTTCCTTTCTGGGCCTCAACGCGACACCGAGGTGCGTAGGTTTCATCTTGATGGCGGTGGTCCTTAGCATCTTGACGGAGTTTCCATTGGCATGCGCCGGCAGTGTTTGTGGTTGACGGGCGGCTTCCTGAGCATGCATTGGGTGATGGCATTCATTATTGGCTTTTCAGCCTGAAAGACAGGTGAATGACTCAGGCACAAATGCCAACTCCGTCAAATCAGAACGGCTGGCTTCGACGGTCCATTACTGGCCTGCCAACTTGTACGGGAATGTTTGGGACATGTTGGGACGCCGCAGATGCTGGCGAACCATGATCCGAACTTTACAATTCGCCGTCAGAGGTCTGCCATGATCAAAGCACAACATTTGGACGTCATTAGGAGTGTCAACTGCTCGATGGTTGTTCGAAAGGGGGCTAGCTTCTTGGCCTGCCATAGCACCTTGCTGAGCCTACATCCACTTCAAGCATTGGGGGATCTTCGAAGAGCGTTACAAGCTCCTGAAGCCCAACCTTCACCAGCACCATGACGTGCTGGATACCATGTCCCGCAGGCTGACTGGGAGGGAATGGGAGGATGCGGGAAAAAAGCGATTTGGCCGTGACTTCGTTGCAACCGGCGGGTTTGTACTGCCTTTGGGTAAGTTAGGGGGCTGTGGGTTGGAATTGGCAAACGCGGTCCGGGAAGAATGTGTGCACTTGATTGCAGGGTCATGGATTTGGCACTCGGCTGCAGGTAAAAGGCGAAGCACATTTGTCCAACATGTTGATCAACTTGTGCAAGGCATATTGATGGCTTCTGCCTGGTGTTGTTGCCATGTTTCACCTGTTGTTGAAGCATGGTTTGGGGCCTGTGCTGCCCTGTCGACACGTTGCGTTCGTGTCGCGAGTCCCGCCAGGAAGTGAAACTTGCACAGCAAATTCGGCCGATGCCCGAAACGGGGCCTAGGCAAACTGCACCTCGCCGCCTCAAAGGAGGAGGCAAATGATTCATGATCCTCCATGATTGTGCCTTGTGGTTGGTTCACAGTAAAGTCTCCCAGCTCTGCTGGGGAATCAGCCAAACTCGTGCTGGATGAATGTCTTCACATCCCATGCTTCCAAGTCATTGTCCAACTTGGGCGCCAGCCCCAAGCTGGAGCAAATATTTTCGTCGCAATACGTCGAAAGACTTGCTGGACAGTTCACCCAAAGCCCACGGGCCCTTGCTCTTGCCCGCCGACGTACTCGCTACAGCGGATCAAAGCGGTCAGGGGTATCTTGCTTTCTGCTGTGTGCCGGCCTCTTTGTGCTGGGAGGGGAGTACTGCAACCGGAATATGCATGCTGCATGTTTGTTGCCAAAGGGCGTGCAGCCCGTTTCCTCAGCCAAACAGTTGACATGATGAAGTGATATCTAGATACCAGCCGAACCTTCAACCAACATATTCTGAGTCGATCATGCCAGCCATGTATGAGGCAGAACTGCCATAGACCTTACCTGATGTTTGTGGCAGATTCTGTTCCGCAATCGATCCCAAGTCTAAAGTTCAATGCTGGCTGGGCTGGTTCTCATTGCCATTTGGAGCTTTCCGCGTGAGCAAAGTGGAATGCGCAGCCGCACATTAGGTTAGGCTCCTGGCTTTACAAGGCTAGTCCTTCCTTGGTAAAGCCTTTGAAACGACAAGCTAGCATCACCTAGCAACAATTGATACCTTCAAGTAGCCGCAACGACAAACGAAGCGCTTTGAAGAAAAGTCCATCTCCTTCCTGGCCCCACTTTAGATTGAGGAAAACGTCAGGAACTGCAGTGAAATGGTTTGGGTCCATTTGGAGACTGGCCATTGTAGCCCAGAGATATGACAAAATCCCCCGTGGCTTGGCAAATCGCCGCGCCGCAGCTTCACAAAGCGGCTCACGCGAGGGACGTCAGCCGAAGGTCCGGGGGCGGAAACCGGCCATGACGCCCGTGACCCCAGATCCAAATTTGCGGGAGAGGGCGAGGGGCTTCAGAATCCGGAGCAGCTGAGCCCATGTACAAACACGGCCACTTTGTCGACTTATGCCTGTTACAATCAGGGGGCTCCTTTGCTAGATGCCTGCACCCGATTTGCCTTTTCCAAGGACCAGGTACACGAGCATGCAGCTGGTTGATGGCAATGGGCGTCGCCTGAGCAGCAGGGAAGGGGAGCGGCAGTCATGCATTTTGCTGGCTTGGTTTGCTTTTCCTTAGGGACTATGGTGGCATCTTTTGGCAAGCCTTTAAGCAGACAGACAAGGGAATATGCGTTTGTTTTTTTCGAGGGCGCCGGATGTGGACACCCCTGCAAATGCATTGCGTTCTGGTGTGTGGAGCCCATGTTTACGGTGGCAGCGGCTTCTTTGGCTTGTGGTTTTGAGTTCGGGTCGTGAGATGGGGTGGGGTGTTGAATTGGCGTCTTTCATGGTTTGACGAGTGTGGGCGCGAGCTTCGGACACCTACTGGAGGTCTCAGCTTTCCAAGGTGGATGCCACTGAACAGCGTGTTCGCCAAGCTGAAGACCCCCCTTGCTTTGAACGCCCGAAGCTGTGTTTGACAAGTGCGAGTGACAATGCTCAGCTTTTGAAAGCGGGGTTCGCAGAGACCCTGGATGCATTTGGTGTTGCCAGCCATTGAGATGGCGTGAGGTCCGCTTAAAACAATTAGCCCTGTCCGAGTTGCTTTCAAGCCATGTGCAGCTACGTTGTTTGTGCAATCGTCCTATGTGTTTATACTGGGCCATTCTCAGCTCAGACCCCAATTCCTCCTCCCATCGGCACATAAACGAGTGTTGGCTTTTGACCACCCCTCACGCTCAGCTCCACGCTTGGATGGGGGAGAATATGCCGGACTGGGAGTGACGGAGTATGCTTTGGAGACAGGCTGGGCCATACAATTCACCATGTCATGATTGGCACTCAGTAATAGCTACGTCATGCCATGCGTGTACATTGAGTGATTGACCTCGTGAACCATACGACCCACGGAGAGTTTGCCACTTTGACTGGGACGTTCCTTGGTTGAAGTTGAACTCCAAGCCGGGCAGGGGGGGGGCTTCTCACGGGAACGTCGCCCGTTTGAAAGACACAGTTCTATTCTGGCGAGTGCAGACCTGGATTCCAATTAAAGGAGCCGCGGCTGTGACATGCACTCCAGGCCGGGTGTTTACCAGCTTAATCAAGCTTGACGGTGTGGGTACGTCCAGCTGGTGTTGTCAAAGCACATCGCAGACATGTTTGCTTGAGCTTGGCATTTCACAGAGCCTTGTGAAGAAATGAAATGAGCTGGACACCTTTAACTTCCCAACTGCAGGGAGTATCACCATGCGCTCCCCATAGGTCCTGAGGCCAGCATGATTGTCTCCAACTTGCTCCAGAGTTTGTTTGCCAAGGTCCCAAGACCGAAGCATTGTGAACAACATGGTGTGACTCCTCGCGGCGCTTCAAAAACTGACTTTTTTGAAGGAAGTTGATCTTGACATGATCATAGGCATGATCACGATCTGCTTCGTAGCAGGTATAGATCAGGGATCATAGGCTGCCTACTTTTCAGCTGGTTCAACATGATCTGCTCCCAATTGGTCCATGCACTCTGGTTGGTAAATAGCCACCTGACAAAGTTCCCAGATCCTTCGCAGGTAATCTGACGCATTCAGAGTCCATGGAGATCACCAATGACCCCCGATTTTTTCAGGACGGGATCAGCTGGATTGATGGCTTGGATTTGCTCTGTGAAAACAGCAATTGCCAGCTCTGAAGGCGTACGCTGTCGCATGTGTAGCTTTTCGGTGAGAAGCAAGAGTGGCTTGAAGGCTTGTGAGGAGGTCGTGATAGGCTCACATCCTTGTCAGCCCCACGTTCTTCTGCAGCCAAAGGTTGGCTGCCCCCTGGCGATTTCCACACACACACATATTCTTGCTGAACGTTTTTTACTTGGCCTCTTTTTTCTGGCCCTCTTGCTACCCTTGTTTTTGAACCCATGTTGAGGCCTCACTGACGCACCACGCTGCCAGTTTCTGGCTGTTGTGGAATGGATGGATTCCATGGATCAAAGACTAAAAGACCTACTCACCCACAGAAACCATCCTCGCTCTCCGGTCAGGACAGCGTGCTGAGCGTGCGCCTCGCGGCCTTCGCTGGCCTGGGAGTGGTGGCGGGGCTCATGGTGCAGAACTCCTTTGCCCCGCGGATAAAAGGGGAAGGATCAACTCGCGTCCCTGGGGGATTGCCCCTTACCTTTGCATGAATATGCGTGTGTAAATGTATATATATATATATATGAATAAACATGTCATAACTATGCATGTATACCTGTGTAAGCACACACACAGATGTCTATCTATACATATATATATATATGTATATATATATTATACATTTGCATTTAGAATATGGACAGAGATCAGAGTGCACATATATATATATAATACATAGCATGCACACATATAGTTTGTTTTCTTTCGTAGGCTCAAATGCGCCAACGCGCTGTGGTTCCGTTTCTTGCTGAACGGTCCCCGTTGCATGAGCTGATTCCAACATATATGCTTCGGGAGGGTGACAGGACAACCGCCAACCAACTTTTTGTCAAGTTCAGCTGGGTATCCAAAGGTGTGGTGCCCTTGTTTTTCTGTCAACAAGGGTGGGCACGCATTTGGATCTTTGGATCTATGCCTGAAGCTCACGGCTCGAGTGGTTCCGCCCTGTCTTTTGTTCTGCAGATTCAGCTAGCCATGTCCAAGCAGGAAGGTGAGAGCTTGGCACAGAAGGTCCAGGACCAATGCATCTCTGCGAAGCCAGTGCTTGTTTTGGAAGGCCGCTGCGAAACAAGGCCGCTTTCCGCTTGGTTTGCAGCGTTGGGACGGCTTCCTTGCATGTGCGGGAGGGTGAAATGCGGGAGAGTTCAAACTTCCGAGGAAGCGTAGGTCCCGGTCATGGTCTGCGCCATGGCCCCGAACTCCAGCTTTTCAACATTTTGCTTGGTGGATGTCAGCGGGTTTCACCGCCTAAGATGCAGCTGGTTCGCTTCTTCGGACTTCTAACCCTTGGTCATGCCTCATTTGACTCTGCTGGCTTCAAACTCGAGACCATGCCCATTAGATAGGGTGCTGACCAATGGATAAAGACTTGTGACAGAGGGAGGAGGAGTGGGGCTAAGACGCCTCTCCTTCTTTTTGTTGCTCCTTTTTCAAGGGCAAGCAGCCACTAGCCAATGGAGATATTTGTCTCAGGGTGCCACTGCTCCCAACAGGACACCGTCGAGCAGGGCGTCGAAAGCGCCCAAGAGGCGGCAGTCGACGTGCGTGCGTCGAACGCCGGTGCCTCTTCGAGCCAGAGTTGGCAGGCACGGGATCGAAGAAAGACGACGCCAGGTTTCGCTTTGACTCATAAGCTCAACTGTAAAGGGGGCCCAGCCCGACGTCCTAATACATCTTGCACCAAGTTCAATCGGCCCGATTGACAAGCAGCAAGCAAGAATACCTGCACTCAGGAATTTCATGGTCAGCTTTCCCAAACACTGGCGGCCATGCACGTGTGACACCTGGCTCAGCAAGCCACCCCCCTGGAGGAGGCTGCAACGCAAGCACTGGCTGTGGCGCAGGAGAAGGCATCGGCGGGGTACGAGGCGGTGAAGGTGCAGATGCAGCCAGGCACCGCAGAGCAGCCCACGGTGATGGACCACATGCGAGGCGGGCTGTTGCTGTTTGACGTGTTGGATTGCAACACGAGAGACATCCAAGGGCCCTCACACGATGCAATTCTATGGAATTGTCAGCCGATGCTCTCTCACTGCCTTTTGCAAATCAAAGGAACGACCTAAATAAACATATATTATTTCAACGTAGCCAAGAGAAGAGAGGGAGACTAGTACTGAGACTGCCATCGTAGTTGTTGGTTGCGAAGAGCAAGGGCCCACACACACCATCCTCCTCACCACCTGCCAGCTTGCCGAACCCAGCCCGCACGGCCGGCACCCACGCACGCGTTCACTTTGATGCTATTTGCCAAGGGGGCCTTGCGACTGCTCAGGCAACTTGGATGCAAGGGGGGAGGATTCGTGGGAGCTGGTGTGGTGGCTGGGGGGGTTGAACTTGATGGCATCATCATGCATGAATCATAAAATTCACGCAATGGGGGGCGCGAGTTACCAAACGTCATTGCTCGTCTGATAAGGCAGGGTGTGAGCGAGTCGGCCAAGGTTGCGAACAACCATTTCTGAGTACCACGCCGTACCATAAACATGCAGGTCCACATTGACATACATCTTTTCCGTCAAGTTTTACAATGTTTCACTTTGCATACCTTCGGAGACCTGAAGCTATGATTTACCATGAAATCCTCATGACTCTGTGCGCTTTTTTGCGGCATTTTCGTGGATTTGGTCAAAGTGGCTAATGCGCAACTTCAGCTCATATTCAAGGCACCTATGCACCTATGTACTTGGGTTGTCACGAAACTGAGGGGGGGGCTTCCCCCCACGCGACTGGTTGAACCCGCCATGACGTTCAATCTGCTGGGTATGATCACTTTCTTGGACCCACACACTGCATTAGCCACCAGTATCTTGTGTTGTTTTGGTGTGTGTGTGTGTGTGCGTGCCATGTGATGGGCACATGTGCTATACTTCCTGTGCGATGGACATCTTCAGGGTGCCTTTGCCACAGAGGTGCACACGCTGCGAGGCTACGAGGCGGCCAAGGCCTGGAACTGGGTGAGCAAACAAATCCTGGGGCACAAGCTCCATTTCTGGGGGCAAATGCCACCATGGTGGAGTCTTGGTCGTGGAGACTTGTTCCGGGCTTGGTTTTTGCGGTAGCCGAGCGCGCTTTTGAACCGTTTTGGTGGGCCTCTTGCCAGGTGCAAGTCCTTGGCACGGAGACGGAGCCAGGGCTGTGGCACCATTTGGTGGACTGCTGCTCGGTGGCGCAGCAGAAGTCGCTGGAGGCCTATGAGGCTGGCCCTGGCCCGGCTTTCGTATCCGAGCCGTCGGTTTGCTGCTCAAGGACGGCCAAGGGGTGCAAAAGCAGTGCAGGTGGCTCTGGTTTTCAAGGTCCGGAAGAGCCTCCAAAGTTCAAAACGTGCCAGTTTTCAGCTTTGTCGAGGCCACCTCGGAGTTCGTAGTGGACCAGTGCGCCGCCAAGAAACCGATGTCGGAGATGGAGGCGGTGAAAGAGACAGTTGAGGCCGGCCTGCAGGTGGCGGAGGAGGAGTCGGCCAAGGCTTACGCAGCCAACAAGGCGGCCGCGGAAGCAGCTTGATTCATTGGATGCGTGAGCGATTTAGGGAACTCAGTGTCTTCTCATTTTGTGTCTTGTTCTTGCGGGCGCTGCGTTTTCTGCAGGTCTCGAGGTTTGGGCAACCAGTATGATATCACATTTTGGCAGGTTGAGGATTGACTATGGGACTGTCCGTTTGGGTTGCCGATGTGACGTGTAGTTTGGCCTTACGGCTTGTTCCCGCCTTCCGTTGTGATTAGCGTTCTTCTGGCGCTAGGGCGTGGGGTAGCAGAGCTCGGTCAACGGAGCAATCCTGTAGTTAGATTGCTGCAGTGTGTTCCTGTTGTTGGCTTGTTTGTTTGCTTGGTTGGGTTGGGTTGGTTGGTTCTCCGTGCTGCCAGTTGTTTTGCTTGTTTGTGTGCTATGCATGCATGCATGCACCCATCTATGCCAATATATGCTATGTTGTAAGTAATGCTTGAATGCATTGCAGCGTATGTATGCATGCATGTATGAATGTACGTAAGTATGTGATGTATGTAATCTACTGAAATGCAATGCAATGTAATGTAGCGTAACGTAATGTAATGCAATGCAATGTCATGCATGTACGTGTGTAAAGTAAGTATGTAATGTAATGTATATAATGTATTGTAGTATGTATATACGTACGTATGTATGCTTATATGTAATGCATTTGTATGTTTGTATCTTATATGCATCTGTATGTGTGCATGCAATGTATGCATGTATCTATTTATGTATGTATGTAATGTATGTATGCATGCATGTACGTATGTACTGTAATGTAATGCAGTGTAATGTATTGTAGTGTAATGTAATGTAATGGAATGTGGATGTAAATGTAATGTATGGATGTATATATGTATGCATGTATGTGTGTATGCATGTATGTATGTAATTTAATCAGCTTTGTTCTCTGGGCAGGTGGGTGAGCTGACCTCATTCATGTACCAATGGCGCGCATTGATGCCATTTTGGCTCGAGGCCAAAATGTCCATCTTCTTTTGAGGTGATTCAAGGGAGGGTTCCAACATGGAGGCCATGGCAGCTGTGGAGGTTGGCCGGGTGGCGCGTTGGGCCCGGGAGATGAGCCAGGCCTGGAGCCGGGCAAGGCGGGGGGTGGCAGCCGGGGTCGGCGGTTTGTGAAGGACCTGTATGCCATCCACGTGCTCGATCAGCCTTCGTCATCCTCGCGAGGAGCAGCGGCGGTGATGCCACGGGCCTCTCTGCGCACCACGGGGCAGGCTGCCTGCGTGAAGCCTGCGTGTGGACAACGCCAGTCATCGGGCGATGCTGATGCAGGTCTTGGCGACTGTCAGTCGCGCGCCATGAGCTCTACTCCATCAAGCCTGCGCTCCTCCACTCTAGAAGGCGCCCGTGGCGGAGCCTGCCATGCTTTGGGCGCTGGAGCTTGCAGGAGGCACTCGGGCAGCTTCGCCCAGTTGGCCTGCTCTGACGGTTTCCTGGCTGCAGGCCTTCGGGTGCATCCGTTGGCAGCACCTTCAACGCTCGGTCCTGGTCAAGTCCGTAAACAGCGTGGGCAACGCCATGGCTTCCTTTGGTCCGCGCCTCAGTTGTTTGAGTTTGACCTCGGTGCCGCGCTGCTTGCTGCAGCTGTTCCAGGTGCTGGGCCGGGTGCGTCCCGGGCTGGTCCTGCACGCGACCAGCGGCGATGCAGGCTGCGCAGGAGGCTGTCCGCCGTTCCTTGGCCCACATCGTCAAGGCGGAGGATCTTCGACTGGTGAGCTCGAAGTCTTGGCGTCAGGCCGGCGCCACTTGGGGTGCCTTTGCTGGACTCACCCCTTCCAAGCTTGCCGCTTTCGGCAACTGGACTGACAAGAAGGCTGATGCTGATGTGAGCCTCATGCCTTGGCGGTACCACAGCGCCAAGTATCTGCAGGCCACCACCGCCAAGCAGGCCTTCCGTTCCGTCGTGCAGGTG